GCAAGCCCTTGGTTTCCAATCTGTCCTTGCGTCGCAAGAGCTCGTCGATTCCGCGCAAGGAGAGCCATGAGGCATGCCACGGCTCTTCAGTTTGATGGAGAGGAATGGACGTCGTCTGATTCTTGTTTTTCTTTCATCCCTGGGTACCCTCTGGATAGACTTGGTCACGTTATCTGGTCGTTCATGCGTAGTGCCTGTGATGAGGTGATATTCCTTTTGGATTGGAGATTAAGATCATTCTGATTCACTGACCTATTTACTAAGATTCGTGAATTGAACTTAAACTTCAACCGTTGAGATTTAGTGCACAACTAAGGAGCATAATTGAAAACCCTCGAAAGTGGCGAAGACCAAGAAAACAACGACTGCGCGAAGCCGACACAAACGGCGAAAACTACGAAAATGGCGAAAACGACAAAAATGCGCAAACGGGCGAAAACGACGAAAGCGACGAAAGCGGCGAAAACGGCGAAAACGCGAAAACGGCGAAAACGCGAAAACGGCGAAAACGCGAAAACGGCGAAAACGGCGAAAACGGGAAAACGGCGAGAACGACGAAAACCGTTTTCTTGGTTTTCTCGTTTTGCCGGTTTTCTTGGTTGTGGTTTTCACGCTCAAAGGCAAGACAAGCAAGAAGACGTAAGCAAACTGGAAAAAGCTTCCACACGGGAAAACGCGAAAACGGTTTTCTCGGTTTTCTCGGTTTTCTGGTTTTCTCAGTTTTCTATAGTTTTCTCGGTTTTCTCGGTTTTGTCGTCGCATCGCGCGGGCCACGACGCAGGTTTTGTGTTCTTAGCAGCACCCAGCACCAGCACCAGCACCCGGCACCGGCATCCAGCAGGCACCCTGTTTCCACCACCACCACACGCACAGCCAGCTCACACCACCCAGCACCAGCACCACAGAGCACCAGCGCCCGGCACCGGCGCCCAGCACCGGCACCCTGTCTCGAAAGCGCGCGCAGCCAGCTCGCACAGCCAGCTCACAGGGCCAGGAGCACCACCGGCAACCTTTCTCGACTCTCGAAAGCGCGCAGGCAGCTCATTGTTAATTGATCAAGAACCCCATAGCTTCGCTATCTGGGAAAAAGATCCGAAAATACACCCCCTCACATATGCGAGCTACGCCAACAGCACCCGCACCGGCGCCCTGCACCAGCGTGCGCGGCCAGCTCACAGCACCAGCACCAGCACCGGCACCCGGCACCTCTCCACCACGTGCACAGCCAGCTCACAGCAGCACCAGCACCGGCACCCAGCACCAGCAACCTGTCTCCAAAGCGCACACGGGCAACTCATTGTTATTTGAAGTAAGAACTCCATAGCTTCGCTATCTGGGGAAAAACACCAAGTCAATCAGCAACTGCTGTTTTCAGCATTCACGAGTCCTCATAATCTCTCACGAGTCCGTGTCAACGGACATTTGGATCGCATGAACATGCAATTTTTGTTGGGGTGCCCTTTGTTCCGTTCGTAGCGAACCTTGCTCCATTCGTAGTAAGGCCAGGAGCCCCGTTCGTAGCGTCCGATCGCTGGTGACTCCACTGGGCGTTCCCGTCGGGCTTTGTGCCGTCACCGGCACGAAGCGCGAGTCCACCGGCGGAGCCGCCTGAGGCGGAACTGCGGGAGACCGGACCGGATGCGGTGGACTGTGTTCTCACCATCCAGGAGATATGAACCGTCTCGTGTTTTTCGTGGTCAATGTTCGAGTTCCATTTAGATGGCTTAATGGGCGCCCACCTAAGTCAGTCGATCATTACTGGGCCCTATCCTCCAATATGGGCAACCGTGTGGAACTGGTAGATGGTTCCTCTGGGAAGATCCGGCGAATCATTCTGCTTCCAAGATGTTTGGAACTGTGGACTGTGGATAATTTTTTTGGTAATGACCCGAAATGACCCGAATGACCAGGGGAAAGGCCGAAGGAATCACTTTGTCTCAACAAAATGTCCCCGCAGTTGTCTGGAACAGTAGGAACAGGAACGTTAATCACAAGAAAACTTGTATTGTAGTTTAAACTGACTGTTTAATAATATCTTTATAGTGCAAAAGGCAGCACGGAGATTGTGACTCAGAGAACACATGGTCCAAAACCACTTAGGACGCTTGAGGATACAAGGACGGAAAAACCGTGCTTGGCGGAACGAACTTCCGTCCGAGGGTTTCGGGCACCGCCTGCAGGAACACAGGCGTCGGAGAACGAGGCCTCAGACGGGGATGCGGCCCTGCGGACGGGTCCGTGAACCCTGTAGCCTTGGCCGGGGTCCTTGACGTCTAGTCGACATACCTTCGGGGGTTGCATGTTTCATCATGCCCCTAGATCCAGCCCTTGCTTGGGGTGTTTCTGACCTTATTTGAATGTCGCCTGGCAGGTAAAACTTGCTGGAGGGCAAACCTTGAAACACCATCTCGATGCCAATGTTGGCTTTACTGAAGGTATTCATGGATATTCATCCGAGGGGCTCAAAAAAGGTTCCTTTCTGCAAAGCAGCTGACATTGTCCGGACGGCGGTTCCCCAAAATGGTTGGCCCCTTCTCCTCACTTCCTCTATCTTCTCTCTAAGCAATGCATTTTTGGTTTGAAGGAGCAATCCCAAGAGTTTGAGGGATCGGGTCTTTGAAACGATCAGATCAGATCTTGTCCACAGCACCATTAACACCAGCTTGCATTTTAATGGCTCTATAGTGAGGAATGGCAAGCAAGCCGAGCATGTAAACGGACATGAAATGCTGGCAGGGCAACTTGTAAAAGTGACTTCACTGCAAAGGGGGGACATGCAAGCAGAATTACGAAATGCTTCAAATTGGCAATTCAATTTTATAGAACCAAAGAAACTCTCTTGCTACTAGTAACAAAGGGCATCGCTACTAGGAGCAAGAAGCTACTAGTAACTTAGTAGCTCTTGGCCTTACTACTATATATGTATATAGTAACAAGAAGCTACTAGTAACAAGATCTGACTTGGCGTTTCATGGTTCTGGATCTGCGGCATAGGCGAAAAGGGGCCCGGGGCCCCCTGCCAAGAACAGGTGGAGGAACTCCTGAGGGGAGTCGACCACCTTTTGTAGTTTTAAGACTACCAAGTCAAGCCGCAGTGCCCTCGCCAATCCCATCTATCGGAGCAAGACACCATTTATTTCTACAGTACTTGGATATACTTAGTTTCCACACCCCCTAGCTGGTCGCATAGGTGGAGTGGAACCTTTTCTGGGCCTCAGCGGAAGAAAAGACAATCATTTCAACAGTATATGTCAAGCCTACGCTAAAAAATCAGAACACAATAAATAGACAATAAATATCAATCCATGACAATAATCCAAATAGAGAACATTGTTGTGTATTGTTGTTTCGTGTTTCAAGATGAGGTTGTTTCTAGCATTTATTGAGCCCCGAATTCATCACCTCCTCCCGGGTCCCGGCACCTGAATTTAGTTCCATTCCCACCCCCGAGGATCTCTCCCAAGCTGATGAACATCGTAATTTGGGGATCCATGGGGATCGCTCAGATCGAGGCGATTTAGGTCCCAAATCCCAAACGCAATGACAGGAGATGTGGGCAATGGCTGCCGACCCTTTTGAACAGGTCCTCCGCGGTTCCTCCGAAAAACTTCTCACCAGGCCCCAAAGGACCAAGGTGAGAGAACATGGCTATGGATTCAATCGTCGACTTGGCACAAGCAAATGATGTTGATTTGCAACGCCGGCGCAAAAAGATGCAAAAAGGACCAGCCACTGGGGTCATCCATGTTTTGCAAGTACCATACTGCTTCTGAATTGGGAAGAAAGGCTGCTGAAGCGAGTGAAACTGCGGACGGTTGCCATACCTGGACTGCTGCAAGGTCCCCGTCAAAATGGGGACACAAGCGGCTCCAAGTCCCAACAAGAACAACAAGCACAAAACGACCCGGTCCGTTCGATGAATCTCCAGGGCGTGGTTCGGTGGTCCACCCATGCAACGAATTTTATGTATTCGGCTGCGACGTGCATCGCCGCGGGGCTTCGGACGGACTCTCAGAGGGGTCGACGATCCTTCGTTCCTCTGCAGAAAAAAACAAAAACAGCTGCTGCAGTCTCGCTTGACGTTCAAAAGACAAGAAAGACGGTGTTTGTTTTCCCCGTGCACGTCGGTGACTCGGTGACGGAGCCTCAGTCACGGTTGGAGAGGTTTGTGACACGAGTCCAGACGTTCTTTGCAGTCTTTTGGAGATCCGGACATTTGGAGAACACCGTTGACCTCGCAAGGTGTGCTTGATGGACTCAGAGCTACTTGATTATTAATTGTAGATCTTTCACTGGAACCACTGAGTCTTTATGAAGGCAATAAACAAATCGGATTTTCTCAGCAAACGTCATGTGATGTCCATGGTGTACCGTATGGTGTACCAACATCCAAGAGGTCAGCATCAAAACGCGTCTTCAGACACAGGTATACACCTACAGTATGCCATACAAAGTTGCAGGTATCCGGGCTGGTTCAACCACATTAACTTGGGTGGCTAGTATCAGACTGAGGCCGGCCTCCATTACTGCAGAAAAATAGCCAATCCAACGCAGCACTCCACAATACTCCCGATCGACAAAAACTTCTGGAGGTGCTCGTGCTTGCGGAAAACCATTAGCAAGGCTTCCTGACTTAGCCAGCCGGAACCTGCCAACGCTTCTGCTGGAAATCAGGTTAGCCAAGTGAAGCACGTTAGGGCCTGAACGACCTAACAGTAATTTCAATCTCTGGCCTCTGTGCGCCAGATTACCAAAAGCTCCTTTGTACTTTTGCCCGCTATGCATCATGTGCTCTGAAAAGCACTCCAAAAGTTCGTGCAAACGGACAAGTATTTTCTGAAAACATCTATCTTCACACCCTCTCTTCCGGTCCAAGCTGACCATTGGCCTTTCAAAGCTTCCAAGTTACGTCAAGTTTGGTTTTCAGAGCGTATAGGCGCATAGAATAGAACCACATGGGTCTAACATGAGGCGCATGTTCGCCAATTGTTGATCTTGTTGTCCACGATGCGCTATGACAAAATACGTGTAACTAAATGGCATTAAAAGACACACACACACACCAACTCTCCTCTCCAAGTTAGCTTCGGACCTTTCCCTGACCTGTCGGCCGGCCACCAGTCGAAGACGCACGGTCGAAGACGACCGTGTCATGGACGACGGGTCTGTGCCGGAGTCACTGGGCACTGGGAACCACCTTCGCGGCAACCATGTTTGAGTGTGATTGACGTCTTATTCGTCCCACTACTCAGGCTGTAAGCACCAAAGCATGGGGGCACAAACTCGCCCAATGTTTGGGCGCAACCCAAAAGCCAGGGGGCCCACCTCCTTTTTGAGACAGCCCTGGTTGATTCGTTTCAAGGAGAGCCTTTGTATGTTGCATTCATTGCAGCCTGGTAGTCGACGCTTCTCTCATCTCTCGTCCTAGGACGCACGACGTGCTAATCGCACAGTGAGAAGAGCTTCTGCCACTTCAAACAGTTCACACACTCAATCAAAAGCAGCAAACGAAGGAGGGAATTCATGCCTCTGAAAGGCAAGGGTGCGTGAGTTTTAAACACTTAAATCACGACGGGCCAGCCTCTTGATTCGCTGCCCGGACAATGTGATATGTACGAGTAGCAATCAGTGCCAATTTCCGGCACACAGGCCTGGACTTGGCACCCCATCGCGGACGGCTCACAAGGAGAATCTTATCGATGCTCGACACATTGATGTCGAGACCGGCAGCTGCGCAGGTGAGGCACCCTGCCTGCGAAGATGCTCCTGGGGCGTGTTCTGAACGCGTGCAAAGCTCTACAAACATATAATATAATACTCTATATATATTGTAAAATATAATCATATGGTTTATATATATTATATATATATATTGTAATATGTTTTTTAGTACTAAATCATATATTATAGTATATATAATATATGTAAATATATATATATATAAATAATATATGTCGTTGCTATCAGGCCAAGTGTCTGTGACCAAGCTCTGCGCAATCGTACGAGTATACACATGCTTCTGTGCTTCAACCTGCAAAGCATCGCGGACCTCTTCAGGTCCTGGATGCTGCGGAAGGACTCCCTGCTGGGGATGCGAGCTCGAGGAAGAAATCTCAAAATCATGGAATCGTCTGCGGGGACATCTAGGCAAACAACCTTCTGAATGCTATGATGGGCCATGATCTTTTGAAGGGTCACTACCCGCACGTCAGGGTCCTGAATGCTTCATGAACCCAGTATCCACAGCAGCTGCCCTCCACCGTGTTTTTTGTTTGGGAGTTGTGCCCCTCCAGCCCTTCTCAATATACTATTATTGACTAAAGACTAAAACTATTCTAAAACATCAATTAATAGTTTACTGGGCGGCTGGGCGGCGATTGAGGGGTCCGTTCAAACTCTTGTGATCTGCTGCGATGCGAGGGGCCAAAAAGGGGTCAACACAGGCAACGGGAAGAGATGTTGCTGAAGGCGTCGAAGGATAGAGACGAACATCGGCGCCAACAGAAAAAGCAAACCAAATTCTCTGCGCCAAAAACAGCTTCCAGCACTCTCGCAACAGCAACTGAGAATAATCGTCCAATTTTGTTCGGCTGTTCTTAATAGGGCTGCTCCCCGCCCGCTGCCCCCCTTCCAACCCGAGCGTCCTTGATTTATGGTCAAGAGGCTGTTGAGATACCTCGACGCGAGTGCAATAATATAGTGCAATCTGTCGTTCTTGGGTGGCAAAATTACAAACTATAAATACTTATAAATTAGAACATTGAAGGCTGTTGTTGCTAAATGTGCCACTCTTGGAACTTTTTGCGACAAGTCAAAAAGTTGTCGGTCCATTGTCTTGGCCGCGAAAAGTCTTTAAAGTAAACCTTGATCACTTAGCCTCAAACCAAATCGATCACAAAAATTCAAGAGTTCCAAAGTCTCAAAGGTTTAAGTGTCTCGAAAAATCGAAAAAAGGTCTCAAATTATCGAAAAGTAGCTGTGTTATGTCGCTTCCTTTACCCTTTTTGCCTTTTTGACTTTGGATTTTTCATGATGGTTGTCACTGTTTGACTTTTTGCGTTCTGTTTGATGTCTTGCAAATAGATCGTCGCTAAAGGATTTAGCGCGCTTAGATTGCTGGCCACATATTTTTTCAGCATCTTGGAAACTCAATTTGCACATGTGACCTCTTACAACGACCCCAAATGGACCTAACATCCCGAACGATCCAAAAACCCTGTTGAATGGTTAAACACACAGACCTTCGTTTGATTTCTCACATTGACCTGGATAGCCCGAACTTCGGACGCCCCAGTGCTCCGACAAAATCAGCACAACGGCAGGGAAGTCCGGCGCTCGACTGAACGGTCGGGCTAGCAGCTCGTGGCGCTCCAAAACGTCCGGGTGAATGCGTTTGTGCGCTTCCGGCTCCCTGTGCCACGTGCCCCGCAATTGCGGATTAGATCATGAAGTTCATACGTTAATCATTCATTCATATGCAAGGGTGACAAACTCCAACTCCAACTCCAATAGATTTGCTCTAGTTCTCGTGCCGCTGCTACTGCCATGTCTCACATGAGTCGACTTGACCGGGTTTCCTTTCCTGCTTCGTTGCATTGGCATGAAAAAGCAAAACTTGGCGTTCTGCCGCAACATCTGCACCACTTGTCAGATCCTTCCCAAAAATTATCAAAGTACCCATCAGAAGGACCCTCTGAGATGGCAATGCTTCAGCAGAAAAAAAAACGAATATGCTATGCTTCCAGGAAAGAAAGGAGTCCAGCTTCTTTGATTTCCAGGTGCTTTTATTTCCCCAAACAGCGTGTACAGCAGCAAGAACAAGAACAGTCAATGTGGTGTAATATAGTTTGCTAGCAGGTTGGAGGGCATCGCTATTAGAAACAAAGAAGCCAAGAAAAGGAAGAAAGGTGCAATTTAATTTGCTAGTAGGTTGGAGGCCATCACTACTAGTGTGGAGGCCATCGCTACTGGGTGGAGGCCAATGCGGGCCCACCCTGCCAGCGGAAATACACACGTCCCGAAGACAGGCCGAACACATGAAGTGTTCATGCGATGCGGCGCTCTCGAGGATTCCAGCACCGCACTTGCTAAAGCAAGAACAACTCCAGCTAGCTGGTGCTATCCTGCGTGACAAAAGAAGAAAAACGTGTAATATAGTGTGCTAGTAATGCGCACCTAAGATTATATAAGTAACCACTCCCTATTAATCGATCCCAGCTCGACCCCCCAATACTAAACTATTTTAAAGCCTAGACTTCCACGTTCACATCCCCTTCATATTTTTTGTGGGCAGAAACCTCCTCCTATTAATCAATCCCAGGTGCCCCAGAAAAACAAAAATATAGTTTACTTATTGTCATTGTAGTTCTTTATTGGTTATTTTTCATGTTTTTTTTGCAAATGGTTCTTTACCTTCTTGTCTAACTCATATTCCTATTCTTTACCTTCTACATCAACTCCTCATAGTCTTCATTTTCTCACCAATCCTTTTGATGGTTTCTCCTAAGGGCTCATGCCAGCAACCCTCCTCCAAAAAGATCTAACAAATTCGTTCATTTTACACTTTTAAACCTCTATCAAAATCTTATACTCTGCACTAGTGAGTTGGGACTTGTGAAATGACTGTGCACATTTCGAAGTGCCATCTCATGCGTTTCCAAGTGTGTCCACAACTCTCATCTCATCATGCATCTACCATCAAAATCAAGATCAGCCGAGGGTAGCTTTGCTTATCTCTTTGAATTGGTGTATTCCAAAGGGGGACACTCAAACATAGCAATTAGTATAAGTTGTAGTTTGTTTGTCTCAAGTAATAACTGAAACTCGCTGTTATGACAAATGCATTATATAAATGAAGCACAATATAACTTAAATGAGGCATAAATGACGAAAACGCTATTGCATGATTGCACACAATAAACGTGTTGACCAGTAAAACTCCTATCTCATGTGCCTCCTGAATGTTTTCAGTCAACTTTTCTCAGACACATGTGTCAGGACTTGTGCAACAAGCAACCCATCTCATAATTGGCACAACTCCTAACTCATCGGGGGGCAATATAATTTGTTCAAGCTCACAAAGGGTACCCCTCACCCAGGCCCTACCCCCCCCCAATAGTAGGACCCCCTCCGCCTATCAATCAATCCCACCCTCTGGCCTCATTTTGTCTTGTCTTCTAATGCTTTCATCATGCAATCTGCAATCCGCTTCCTTGTCCAATTCTTCCACATCAAAGCGGGTATCACCAAAATGTTTCCCAATCCCATGGTTTCCCCATTCATCCAAATCTTCCCAGTCAAACCATCATCATCCCCTGTAAAATTCACACCGCAACCCAGGGGGGAGCATTTTGTACCTACAAATGCAGCACCCCAATTCCAAACAAACCAATCCATCTACAACATCAGGCCCCCCAAGGGCTGGGGGTTGGCCATAGTGGGCTCTCAGAAATTTGGCAGAAAAGTCCGCTCCCTATAAAATCAAGCCCTCCAAGCCACACAAAGAGTCCAACAAATGCCATGCGTCACCCCGATGCATCATCCATGGCCATAGGCTCAAAATGAATTGGAAATAGTATCTATCATATGAAAATTATTTTGCACCACCTAGACTGTTTTAGTGAAAAATATGTTTAGAACCACCACCTACATGGCTTGCCACATAATATTTTTTGTCAGTTAGTTAAATATTCGGAAACATATTTCACTAAGTGACTCCCACCTCCAACTAATTTCTTTGTGATTGGTGTATTGTGTTCTCTACAAAGTGGTGTCTGTCTCTCTACAAAATTATGGTGGGTGGGTGCACATCCGCTTCAACACCCATCTCTACAAAATGGGTCCTAACCCTCTACAAAATTAAGGCGGGTGGGTGCACACCCTTGCGTCAACAGGAAGATGCTTAAACAACCATCTCTACAAAATGGGTTCTACCCTCTGCAAAATTATGGTGGGTGAGTGCACAGGCTCGGGTCGACGGAAAGATATGTAAAAAATGCCGCTTCTATAAAATGGACCCTGCCTTGCAAATCATGCTTTTGCTAACATGCTCAAAATCTACCCTGATCACTCTACAAGTCAGGAACACCCAGGACAGTGATTCTGTAGAAAACATTAGAAAACAACTGTTTTCTCTACAAAATGGGCGTTTCCTACACATGGGTGGACCAGATTTGTAGAGAAAATTTCACTGGTGATCCATCATCCATCATCAGGTCCAGGTCCTCATCTCATCCATCATCAGGTCATCACCTTTATTAGGGGGATGTGGTCCTCCAATACCTCCAATCTCAGACCTTGTTGAGATTAAAGGGGGGGTGCCCGTTGATAAATCCTACGTTGCCATTAGGTTGGAAGCTATCGCTACTAGGTGGAGGCCATCGCTATCAGAAACAAATAAAAAAGAAAAGGAAGAAAGGTGTAACATCCCTGCCCGACATTTCTCGACCAAGCAGCTGAAGCCGACGCTTGCACCTTTCCCGCCGCACCTTCCGCGGTCGGCTGTTCGGCGGGTTGAGCTGCTCATCTGGCTCATGATGACAATACCTGCAGCTTGCTCCTGAACCAGGTCGAAGCATTCTTCGAAACAGAGGCGCGCAACCCACCATCATGACGCATCTGTCCTTTTTGGCAACTGTAGGGGGTGGTAAAGAAGAGGCAGCAGTTGCATGGATCCTTCCTGTAGCCCGGAAGCGACTCAAAGTTCACCTCAGCGTCTTCCTCCGCATCCACCGAGGCTGCGGTGGACGAGCGTGGCGGTCCGGTACCTGACTGAGGGCAGGGGCGCCACCCGATGGCGCGGTCGGAGTTGCACGCTGATGTGCATAAAGGAAAAGATGTTCTGCTCTTCTTTGGCCTTCTTGGGCAGAGCTACGGCCAGTACTACAGCTTCCAAAAATCGAGAAGCTGCAATACGACCCAGTAGAAGCAATGGTGAACCAACCTGCGCTCTGGAGGTCACCAATTTGAGGCCTCTTCCGGTCTATCAAACCTCCCAAGAGAGACCTGCTGGAAGTGCTGGTGCTCAATTTAGAGGCACTGAAACTGGGTCTTCGAACGACTTCCATGAAATTCGTGGGGCAATGCCAACCGCAAGATGCCAGAACGCTATCACCTGGGAGCAGGTGGCCCACTTGGGAATTGCAAGTAGTTCCGAACACCCACATCCCCACGTCCACCAAAAATGAGTCGATCACACAACGCCAGCTCGCTAGCTAGCTTACTTCCCCAAGCGAAACAATACAAGATTCTATATTGCTATATTATGTACATTTGTTGACGCCAATTGCCAGCGTTTCGCCCCCCCTCCTCCGGAAAAATATAGACTACATCCTAAGTTGTCCTGAAAGACTTGAATTGGTTATACAATCTCGCACCGATCACTGCCCGTTCCATGTTGAAGATTGTCACTGGGCCAAGTCCAGTCTTCAACAAAGAGTCAGGACCCCCAAGACCCCGTCATCCTGCGAGAACGGGCCATGTCCGACCGGTCGTCCAAGCAACTGCTTGCGGCATTGAGGTCCTTCTCATCGAGTTCCTTCCTCAGATACGAGTTCCCGTCACGTCAGACCGGTGAAGATGAGAAAAAAAGGTCACCAACGTATAAACTGACCTACACGGTCTGACCATCTGATTCAAAAAGGAAACCATAGGTACCAATGCGTATATCATCATATATCTAGGTTCAAAGAAGAACCCTGCTGACAACCCTGTGTTCAAAATGATTGGGCGTGCAAAAGAAAACTTGTGGGTGCTGATATGATTCATTATGAGCATAAAGGTTGATTGGCGAGATAAAACATTGAGCATGTGCCACACCAGCCTCCCATCTTTTCAGGAATCTGCAGAGTTCTGCGTCAAGGATAGCAGGACTGGGTTTAATGTGCAGTTGCTTCGCTTGTCAGAACCCAAACATGCCTAATGAGGAGCCGGCAAATGTCGACCCCAACCATTTTAGTAATATGATGCTCCTGGTGCCAACACTTTTGGAAACTAACGCTGCATTGCAACTATCACCGGGGAAGTGCTATTAAATCCAATATTTATGATTAATTAGTATCAATTATGTATATACATACCTTACCTTACTCTACATCAAACCAATGAACATCAATGGGGACATGACATATGTCCTGTCATGAACATCTTCTGCTTTGCACATCATCTTTTTACAAACACCCGGGAGAAACAAATGAAGACTCGCAAAAACCAACAGGGTACAAAAAACAATCAACACCAATGAACCTTGCAACCAACACCAGCGAAACGTCTTCAAGTTCATCTCAGGACCTATGATCACCATTTGGCTGCCCCTTACCCTTCTGAGGTTTTGCGAGCGTTGATGGTCCTTTTGAGGTGCTTGCTAGATTTGATTGGTTCGGTTTCATTAGTTGTCACAATGTTTCTGGGTGACATTGCTGATAAGCAAGTGGATGTGCTTACAAACAAATGCCTATGACCTATGAAGAACTGAAATGCTTAAAGAACTCTTAGTTGGGTGTTCATTGGCTTGATGTACTGTATATAGAAGCATCAAACCAGCGCAATGAGTAGCAAACTTCTTCCGAGCACTTACATGAGTTCAAGAAGACTGCGGAACAAGTGTCGTTCAGCAAAGTGAGGTGGTGATTGTTTTCTGAGAACAGCAAATATGGCAAAACACCAGCACTGGAATTCTGGAATAAGTTGTCGACAGCGCCCGTTTGGATGTCCTGTTTACAATCCTTTTTGACACACACCCGCTGCATCCGCAGCTGATGTGGCCTCCTCTAAATGTTATTCTCAACTGGCTCGCAAAAGGTCCTGAACTTTACCCTCGGTTGGCTCACACAAGCTATGCTACGTTGGAAAGGTTCCTTCCTTCCTCCTCTAATTTTTCCTTGGAATCATGCCCTCAGTTGGCCCACAATGGGTTTGCTATGTTGGGGTGGCCCCTTCCTCCTCCAAATTTTGCCCTCGGCGGGTGGCTGACAAAAAGGTATGCTACCTTGGGATGACTCCTCCCTCTGCTAAATTTTGCCTCTGGCAGGTGGCTAACAAAGGTATGTTACCTTGGAATGGCTCCTTCCTTCGCTAAGTGTTATTTGATTTTATGCCACCAAAAGTATGCTATGTTGGAGTAGCTCTTTCCTCCACTAAATTCGATCCTGAGTGCAAAAGTAGAGAGTGCACTTGAAGATTTGTATATATGTGTTCCTGTCTTCATGGCAGGCACAGCACCTTAAGCAATCCCGCCGAACAAAAGCGCTGGGAGCCTTGAGAAGTTGTAAGGGACAAGTTTGTTTTGGCTGCCAGCCTAGCTGCAGCAAAGGAAGCAAAAGGAGCAAAAGGGAGCAATGATAAGCCAGCTTGAGAAGACGTAGCACAGATTTCCTATAAATATATAGTGGTCAACATTTATATAACACAAATCAGTTTTCGTGTCTGGCGCTGCAAGTGGAGGAAATAGCGCCCCCAAAGCGAACCAAACAGAACGAGCAACAAAAGCAAAAAGCACAGAAAAAGTAACGGAAAGCAAAGGCCCGAACATGCCTGAACCAAGAGCAGAAAAAGCAACAAACACATACAAAAGCAAAGGCAAACACCAAAACCGAAAAGGCTGCGAAACCAAACAAACAAACATCCAATCTGCCCAGGTGACACCAAGTTTCCGCGGGGAATCGTTCGACAAAACCACTGGACGCAAGGCATCAAAGTCTGAGGACGAACAGCTCGAGCCTGACACCGAGCATGTGACCGCCATGCTGACACCGAACTATCCCAATCAAAAACACTTGGGATTGGAATGGAAGCACCTTGACCAAAAAAAGCACCCCAAGGGAAGGACATATGCAACATGCAAGGAAAAAGATCCGATCTGTTGGGCAGATTCCGGGAGGATTCCTGCCCCTACCGGTCGGCCTCGTCGGCCTCGTCAATCTGCGGACGGTCCATGAAGCACATGACGAAGTACATGTAATACTGTAAGCAGGCCCTTTCCAAACGATCGCTCGGTTCATCTCTGTTCCATCCCTTTCCCCACGATCGCTCGTTTCGACTTGCGGATCCGACCTCGGAACGCTTCGGTCCGAACCCCGGGAGTGAGAACCGTCGAGCCATGTTGACCGGGTGAGAACAGGAAGCCCCCGAAAACCATCGTGACCCGAGCCGATCCACCAAACATTTGCCTATAAATAATGGTGAGTGGAAACCAGGATTCTCACTTATCAAAGTTGAGAACTTTTGGAGCTTGTTGAAACCTCAACTGTGATCTCTGCCACACCAAAGGGAGCCAAGCCCCGAACCGAATGTTCTGCTCTATCAAATCAAAGCTTTGCACTCATGTTCATGCTTGCTGTGCCAAGGCTTTGGGCCTTGGGTGGAAACCGTGCGATCCGTCATGGTTCTCCCCTTCTCCCCAGAACTGAAAAAGGACTCGGGTAAGGAGGCTCTTGCACGATCGGCGTACCGTTTTTTTCCTTCCCCTTCTTCCATTCCAAGGGCGGCCGGAACCAACGGCAGCGTTGGTTCAGGTCCAAATTCCGAGGTAGTTACTAAGGCATCATAGGGTATAGTATGGTATTACAGTATATGGTATGGTACGGTCAAAATCATGAACATCAGCTTAGTTGGTGGGTATGTGATCGTTTCTTCAGGTTGTGTATGCAGTGATCGTTTTTGGGGTGAGAGTACGATGGCTCTTCCAGCAAGACCTGCACTTTGCGCAACGCATCGCCCACGCAACGAAGGCCTTCTCCAGTGGGCATGTCATCATCGCTATTCATGGCCAATGGCTGATGTATGGCCAGCTTGTGTAAATGCTGCGACGTGTCCGGTCGAATTGGAAGGACCCATGTCCTCTGCCGGTCGAAAACCAAGTCAAACCTGGTCCGAACGATCTCATTGAGTACTGTTCTTGTATAACCCAGTGAAATGGGATCCTTGACCTGCTAGGGTGGGTGATAGATTCGGTATCTCGAAACCGAAACGATAGGTTGGGCGGGCCTCGTGGCCCCGTCGATTCTCCTTTCGGAGTCCACGACGGTTTTGGGAGGTCGACGTTGGTGGCAGGGTGTGGAGCGACTCGGGCGGCCCAGGGCGTCTTCGATGATCGTCTCGAGAGTAGAAAAGGGCGTTGTTAGGGGTGACCTCGGAGACCACATGCATGTGTACCACATGCGTGTGTCCCAAATCACCCCAGCTTGACAAGAAGGGGGTGAACACAATACACGTCCATCAGCCATGAGCCTCAGGCAGTTTTTGGGTGAACACAATTCGTTTACCCTCAAACATGGAGAACTCCTGTATATTATGCATCATTATGTGTATCTGTGTATATATATATATATTGATATACTGTCATACTGTATAAAAAGAATACTTATAAATTATATAGTAAATTATATATATATATTGTGCATCTACACATTTACTAGATGGAATATGATGGAAGTACCCTATCATACCCTATCTGTTCCTTAAAGCTTGATGACCACGGTACCCAAATCCGAACTTCTTGGCCGCCCGACATCCGCAACACGGGAAGCTGTTGCGTCCCATCGCCTGGGGCGGAGGGGAACCAGGCGATTCCCATGGTTTCTCGTCATCGATGAGAAAGCCTTTCCAAGCATGGTCCAAAAGAGCCCCACGTCTCGACCAACGTGGCGATACGCCTCGAAGCACTCTTGGGAGAAGACCGTTGAGGCGTTGAGGGAGATTCTTTGGAGACACACACACCTTCACATGTTGCTTCCGTTGGCAGAGACCGGCTGAGTCAGCCGGATCCGCCGGAGTGTCACCCTTCTCTATCAAGATCGAAGGACATCGATCTACCCAGGACACCAGCCGCTGGACTTGAAGATGGGAGCATCTCGGTGAGGTCTAATTTGGGTCACCGGCACTCCATCCTGGACCAGTGGGGGTCAACAAGTCGTGATTGGCCTCCACGTCTAGACCCAGCTACCATGGACAACCTCTTGGATGGTCCTGGACCGTACAGAATCTGGCAATTGAGACTGCCTCAAGCTCTTATCCCAAACCAGTTCTGAAAATCTGACCAGAATATTCACATCACTGCGCGTCAAACGACACAAGCCATATATATATATATAGCAATTATAGCACATATATATATATATCAGCTCAAACGGTCGGAGCCAGGCAATCCAACCTTTCGGACAGGTGGTTTTCTGGTCCGGATCAGTCATCCAAAAACCGATCTTGGAGGGTCCAGGTCCGTGATAGAAAGGTAGACTCAGGTAGACAGTAGACATCATCTAAAGACAAGTCTACAACTGATCTGAAGCACATGTTTATCCTAGTCACTCCACCTGGAATGGACCCTCTCCATCCCTCTCCTCACCTTTTGGATTCCAAAACTCCCCTCCATGCGTGCAAAACGACCCTCTCCGACCCGCAAAAGGCCTGCATCCTGGCGCTGCAACTCCTGTTGAGGGCTCTGCCGCAGCAAGCCCGGTGGCTCGAAGCGCGGTGTCTGTGGCGTCCTGCGACGGCCGTTCACCGCCCGTCGTGGCAAGTAGTGGAAGTAGTGGGAGGAAACGGCTTAAGGGACCATTGCTAGTAACAAGGACGTTATTAGGTGGAGGCCATCGGCCATTACCATATACTAGTAGCAAGTAGCAAGGACGCTATTAGGTGGAGGCCATCGCAAGTAGGTTGGAGGCCATCGCTACTGGTAGCAAGAAGCTACTATCTGTGTTTATCGGCTCTCGTCTCGATATGATCTACAGTACATGGAAGTGGCAATTCGTACCCTGGTCCATGACCCAGACTTTGCAAACCAACAAACCACCGGAAACCTCCACCAAAAACCTCCAAACGCAGTCTGTTGCACTGGCATTCTTTGGGTATCTCGATCGGATCGTAATCAAAACATAATTCTGCAAAGCCCTGGGATCAAAGAAAACAACACAAGACCAAACTCCGACTACACAGTGACTACAGGAAGTCCCTGTTGCTTTCGTAGAGCTACGACATGTTCCCTCAGTTCCCGGCAGCGTAGAAAAAACCTTGCTTCGTGGTCGCCACATGGGTTTGACTGTGACTCCAAATTTGAAAGCCCCTCATCCACACAATCTTCAAGCCATGAGGCATCGGCGGCTGCCAGGAATTCTGTGGCTGCGACTGGCTCCTTGGGATGGGAGGGCTCGGGACCCGTGGCAGAGAGCGTGGGTTTTACCCCACAAACAGCGCAAGTCACCCAACTAGTGCACCCCCTCGGTTCAGGGGGTGCACCAAGATCTCCCCTAGTTTCACTGCTTTCTGGATGGTGTATCACTCCCTGCCCGCTTGGACCGTGGGTCAGCGCGTTCTATTCAAGGTCACAAAGTGTTCGAACTTGACCAGTCTCGGGTCTAATCAAAGAAGCAACACGTTTACAACAATTCAAAAAGCAGAGCTCAACACTCCATGTATTGCAAATTTGTCTACATTGGGGTGGGCCAGAGGTCAATGAAGGCACTATGTGCAACACATGGAGTGTTTGGCACATACAAACACTAAACTGGCGCAAGAACATGGTGCCTCCAATAATAAATTTGGAATGAAGCGCAATGACTGAAACCTGCCAGGATCGGTCCAATAGACTACCCTACCCTACTTATAGGTCGCCTTTGGGCACCCATTGGAAGTGCTAGGTATGAGTTGTTTGAGTCGCTTCTCAGCCATATCCAACGAATGGTTTCCCCCTTGTTCCAGTGATTACGAAGGGGAGGCCCACAACTGTTCACCCTGGACGAAGCCCGAAATCCATCTGATAGAATTCAAACAAATGCAGTTAGTACAATCGTCCAATCTTAAAACCGAAACAACAAACACTTAGATGTATAGCTCAACTGAATGAACATAAATTTCTGAAGCTGGATCACGTACGCGTTAGCATTTGACTTTACAGCAGTTAGACCTTGACTCGCAAAAAACGGCATGGCGAGGGGTCCGCTTTGAGTAACAAATTGATTAAAAGTTCAAAAACCAAGCAGGTACACAGTGGAGCGTCCCTCACTGCATTAACTGATACCCTCTTCGTTGGACCGGCAGTATCAGCGGTGAACCGTCCCCCTGCTGAAAGATCTGGATTGAAAAATCTCTTTGGAACAGAGGATGACACACACACAAACAGAACCCTCAAGCTACATGTTTTTCACCGCATCCCTCCTTTCTCCGCGCGCGATGGAACCCCATGGCTTGCCTGGTTATGGACACCCTTGGCCTCAGAGCAAGCTTCGAAACGGTCCTCGAGACAGGCACGGAGACCCCTAAAAGACTCGTCTTTTGTTTGGAACTCCCACCGAGTCGGGCTTACAAGGTCCATTTTGCCCAGCCATCCACGGATGGCATATATTTACATCATACATGGACCGCTAAAAATGCAGGTCAAAAATTGTATATAGTTAAAAATGCCTTACCTTTGGGACCACGGACACTGGCCGAAACACTCTTGGATACTTCTCGTTGATACTGATACTGATACGTCACCATGGTCATCACTTTCAAGAGACACATTTCAATAAGTTTTTGATGGCATAGTGTCCTTCCAATGCCAGGGGTGTTGTTTCATGTTTCATGTTTTTCGTCACTTTGGGAGGGGGTGGTGGTTGCACTGGGTGGGCAGGGTGGGTGGGGCGGCAATTTGAGTCCAACCATGTGTGTGTTTCACTTTGTTTGGGAGAAGACCGTCTTCGCCATTTTTTGGGCAGTACATTTGCGTCGCACTAACACCATGCATCAACTTGCATCAACATTTACTAATAGCACCTTGCTTACATAAAAAAAATCAAATTACTTGACTTCGAGTGATCCCCACCATGACATTTCAAAACAACCACGTTGACATCACCCTTGTTGTGTATTTCAGCCCATAGCACAAGTCCTTCAGCGCCAAGTCTTACTGTTTTGTCCGAAGCGGTTGCTTTCATCAGGAGACCTGTGCCCAACGAGTAATACAACTCAGGTCATGTCACCTGGGAAACTTCCAGGGCCCGAGCAGTAGTAGTAGTAGTAGCACTAGTACTAGCACTAGTACTAGTAGTAGTAGTAGTAGTCGTCGTAGTAGTAGTAGTACTAGTACTAGTAGTACTAGTAGTAGTAGTAGTAGTAGTAGTAGTAGGAGTAGTACTACTACTAGTAGTAGTACTAGTAGTAGTAGTAGCAGCAGCAGCAGTAGTAGTAGTAGTAGCGGTAGTAGTACTAGCGGTAGTAGTAGTAGTAGTAGTAGTAGTCGAAGTAGTAGTAGAAGTAGTAGTAGTAGTCGAAGTAGTAGTAAAAGTAGTAGTAGTAGTAGGTAGTAGGTAGTATGTAGGATGGGTATTGGTAGTGGGTAGGGGGTAGTGGGTAGTGGGTAGTGGGTAGTGGGTAGCGGTAGTGGTAGTCGTAGTAGTAGTAGTAGTAGTAGTAGTAGTGGTAGTAGTAGTAGTAGTGGTAGTAGTAGTAGTAGTGGTAGTGGTAGTAGTAGTTGTTGTTGTAGTAGTGGTGGTGGTGGTTGTAGTAGTAGTAGTAGGAGTAGGAGTAGGAGTGGGAGTAGGAGTAGTAGTAGTAGTAGCAGTAGTAGTAGAGTAGCGCGAGTGGTAGTGGTAGTGGTGGTGGTAGTAGTAGTGGTAGTGGTAGTACTAGTTGTGTTGGACACAGTCCGGGGCCCGAGCTTCGGGGCCCGCACCTAGGAAAGTTCCGGGACCGGAGCAGTAGTAGTAGAGTAGTAGTGTGTGGTTGTGTGTTTGTGGTCGTGTTGGTGGTTGTGTGTTTGTGGTTGCATGTTTGTGGTTGCGTGTTTGCGGTTGTGTGTTTGTGGTTGTGTTTGTGGTTGTGTGTTTGTGGTTGTGTTTGTGGTTCTCTGTTTGTGGTTGTGTATTTGCGGTTGTGTTTGTGGTTGTGTGCTTGTGGTTGTGTGTTTGTGGTTGTGTGTTTGTGGATGTGTGTTTGTGGATGTGTGTTTGTGGTCGTGTTGGAGGTTGTGTGTTTGTGGTTGAATGGTTGTGTGTTTGTGGTTGTGTG